AGAGCGTTTTAAAAAAATGCATCTCCTGCATGGTTTGGCCAAAAATAATGCCTTTTTTTGAATGCTGATCAGAACCTAGCAGCTTTGCAGAAGTATAAAATATGAGCCTTAGTGTTCTGCACCTCTTTTTTCTTTTTTTCAAAGTAAACTGTTTCTTCCACCCTGTGATATTAAGTAACAAGCAAAAAGGTTTCCCTTTGCTCCGACAAGCCTGGCAGGTTTTTCCATCCTCCGGTTTGGCTTCAAAAGTAGCAGCCGGTGATGCTTTGGTCGCTGGAATTTGAGTCGGAAGAACTTGTTTGCTCAGAAGAGATTCAGCTTTGGGTGTAAACACAGCGTAAAATGTTGCCGCAGAAGGTGTGTGTGACAAATTGGGAAATGGAGCAATTCATTTCTGTGAAGGCACAAACCTTAGATGGCCTCTGCAGAAGACAGAAGTCTGTTAGTCGCGGAGGTGCCATCCCACCCCACCATCTGCCTGGCCTCAGGTTAACACAGACCTTAGATGGTCTCCTTACACGATTACTTCTCCGTGTTAGGGCTGATTCGTCCATCAGCAGAATAGCAGGGAAAATATCTCCGTTCTTCTAGGCCACGTTTTGCTGACCTTAATAGTTTGGCTTGCATAAGGGGCTGAGGGAGGAATGCAGGGCCGAGCTCTTTGTGCCGTGCTGCTGTCTCAGCAGAGGACTCGTCTAGGGTGGTCAATGTGCTTCTAAGAAACCTGTAGCTGCCGCTGTCTAGGTGCGAATCCCACCGCCGCGTGCACCCAGCGAATTGATGGAAAGACTAGTCGCTCTGAAATGTCTCTGAGGAAGTGGTGGCCGAGCTAAGTTCCCCTGTCCACTAGCTCCCCGAGGGTGCTGCAATGGGGAGGCGAGGCGAAGAGCAAAGCAAGCCATGATGGCAGATGGAAATGCAGCCCTCACCTGATGGAGGCAGGAGGGCTGGGCAAGCTTGTTGGCCCAGCGTTTGGTAAGATGGGACCCAGCTGGGCACGTAGACATGCAAAGCAATGTTCAACAATTAGCCCCTTTCCAGGGTGAGGGCTGTAAAACTGGCACTGCGTTCCCTGATGGACCTGCTCCTTGTGCCTGTTAGAGACCGACCTGTCCTCTCGGGCACTGTGGAGCACTTCGTTATTCTTCTTTGCCATGAGGGCCCAGTTGCTCCTGCCTGGCTTGGACTGTGTCCGGCCGGATGCATCCTCTGCAGGATTAATTTAGGGCTGGATTTACGAAGGTGCCTGGGTGCCCACCCCGATGAGGTTGGCAAGCAAGTCTGAGCAGGTTTCCCCTCCCATTGACCGTCCATAGGAGCAGCCACCAAACTTCCCTGAGCAAGCATGGCTCTCGGTCGAGTTAGGGACCTACTCCGATGGCTGTTGAGGGGAGTTAGGCACCCACTCCAAGAACCCTGCACCTAACCTTCCTTCTAAAAATGCCGCCAGGCATCTCTCTCTATCTCTGCTCAGTTTGACCCTGAATTCAATGTGCAGGGGGGAGATCTTGCTGCACAGTCTCACTCTGGAGGCCTTGGTGTCGCTTGAGGTTGGATTTGGTTCTAGGTTCTTTAGGGCGGCTGCCGAGGCTTCAGGCTGAAACCCCCAGAAAGCGTGCACAGGGCTGGAGGGCAGGGTTTGGGGTGGGCAGGGGAAGACAGCCCCGTTTTTTGTCAGCTAGGCAGTTGATCTGCACTAGATCCCCAAGAGGGCTTGGTATGAAATTGCTTCTTAGCGCTCCCACCCCAACCCTCCGCCTCTCAAACCACTATTTCCACTGCTTCGGTAACAAGGGGGAGGGGACGTTTGCTCCTCGTAGGTCCCGCACTGGGCATGCTCTGTCCTGTGTTGAAGACGGCTATGCACATGAGTTCCACAGTGGGGTCTCACCCGAACCCTAGGCAGGGCAAGATATAATCACCAGCCCACTCTGGTACAAAGGATTGCTTGTCACGCACTGCACAGGCCTCTGTCCCATGCAAGCCCACCTGCTGCTGTAGGTTCAGCATGTCAGAAACGGCGAGTCCGTGAAGCTCAGGGTTGGAGATCTCAACACGTCATTGCAAGCTTCCTGTGCTGTTGTCTTACGACTGTTAGTCAGCTCTTGCAGCCTGGCATGTTGCTACAGGAAGGGTCTCGAACAAAGAAAGGCAAGCATCTGCTGTTGAGCAGCACTGACAGCAACTGCAACCACTCGTGTACCTGGCTCAGCCTGGCAGGCCCACAGATATTGTGGGTCTTGGGGACTGAACTCTTTTTAAACTGATTGGACATGTATATTTAGTAGTGGCTGTGTTGCTTTCCTTCCTACCAGTGTGTGGCAGCAAGGATGTGGGAAGCCATCAAGTTACTGATGACAGTCGTCCAGGAAGGAGAGACAGGCTCAAGGGCACAACCTGCAAGTCAGGAGCGCTGGGGGCAGCTCGCTGGCACAGACGTGGCATGATCCTTTCCGTACGTCATTACTGTTGCTGTGCCTCCGTTCCCATCTCTAGAAAGGTGGCAGCATTATTTCCCGTCCCCCCAGGGTGCTGAGGTGCCATTCCTGTTTGCTCAGAGCCCTTGGTGGCACAGGTGGGGTAGGCCACGTGAACAGCAAAGCATGGGAGTATTATACGTTCTGCTTGCCCTCGTGCTTGCTCTTCTGCTAAGCTTTTCTTAACCTCCTACAGCCGGTGGCCAGGAGAGAGACCAAAAGAGACGCTTTTTACTGGGGAATTAAAGGGTTTATGTTGGGAAAGGGCTTCTGGTTATTACTAAACCCTTTGTGAGCACAGGGAAAGATCAGGAAAAGGGCAAAGGTAGCCCTGGTATAGGGGACGGCTGGGCTCAGAGAGACCCAGGGAGGGTAAATGCTTAATTACTTTCCCT